CTTCTGTGGCTCCTGGAAGTCCTGCGCCTTCCCACATCTAGGAAGAAAGTTGGCAGTCAGTTGTGCCCCATCCCTTCCTTGGCTGTACTCACTTAACCTCTTATTTACATTCCTCATTCTGAAAATACTGCATCATCTGTGAGCCTAAATAGGAAAGGAGACATCTAAGGAAGGTTTTTTTTCCTGTCCTCAAGACATTCTCACCCTGGCCAGTTTGGTTCAGTGGATACAGCATTGGCCTGTGGACCGAAGAATCCCAGGTTCAGTTCTGGTCAAGGGCACATGCTCGGGTTGTGGGTTCAATCCCCAATTGGGAGGGGGGGAGTGTGCAGGAGGCAGCAGATCTGTGATTCTCATCATTGATGTTTCTATCTCTCTTTCTCTCTTCCTTCATCTCTGAAGTCAAAAGTAGTAATAATAATAACAACAATAACAATAAAGACATTCTTTTTTCCATCTTCTCTGCTTTGCCCTCCTCCAGCGACATCTCCACCCCAGGTCCTAAAGTATTTCTTCCCTCGCTGAGGTCATTGGACAGTGTCTCTGAGTGGTGGTCTGTTTCAGGACTAGCTCCTGGCTAGCTCCTAGGTTCACCCCAGGGAGGACTAAAGGGCGGGACCCAGAGGTCAGCCTGAAGATGGTGCTGCCAAAGCCAACTTCATTCCTTTGCAATAGCTGCAGGTCTCAGCAATCTGTTGGCATGGTGAACAGTTTCCCACTCCAGGTAGGCCATGGAGGGGGAGGGAAGGGGGATGTCTCTGGGGTGGAGTGAGCCACAGAAAAAGAAGAGCCAGGAAAAGAGGCAAATGCCATAAGAGCCAGAGAAATAGCCTTCGTAGTCCTAAGACTGTTTCGTGACCCCGTGCTGCGGCTTCCTCACCTTGTGAAGTGCAGCTCAGAACCCTCCTACCCGTTCACAAGACCCTGTCACTCTGCTCAGTACAGTTGGCTGGCACTGTACTACCTATGCCAACAATATGGCCCTTGCCCCACGCTCCTCTGCCTGTTCACATTCTTCCCTAAGAGGAGTGACTGTAAGAGGCCATGCGAGCCTAACAGAAGGGCCTCTGGGTAGCAGAGACCACATCTTGGTCCCTCTTGGCAGGAAAGTCGTGACCCCGTTTCTTCACTAATATGCACTGTGTGCTCTCCATGCACGGAGCTGCCTTCTAGAAGCTCACCATGTAATTAGGGCTACGGGCATTTTCCCTCCAGGTCTCAGGGCTATAGAGAGGGTGCCCGCTTTTGGCATATTCCCATTTTCCACAAAATGTGGAAGGGCCCAGCTCGAATGCTGGCTCTTCCTTGATTATACAGCCGCTGAGCAGGGGTCCTTCCTGCCTCTCCACGTTCACAGCACAGGTGCTGGTATCTCTCTCGTGACGCATCGTGAGAGGCACGTGTACCAGATGCGTTTGTATGCATAGCTGGTCTTCTCTGCTAGACTACGTTTCTTAGCACAAAGATGATCTTATACATCTTTGTATTCCTCAGAATACCCCACACAGCACCAGGGACCTGAGAAGTGCTCCAAAAATAGTCCCACTTCCTTCCATAAGGATGCCTGTTGGGTGAATGAAGGCTTGTCTATGGAGCTCTGGGGAGTTCCCAGATTTTAAAATTTTATCACTAACAAAACTCTTTGGTAGGATTTCACCGATTATCACAAAGCTCGAACTCCATGCAGATAGCACAGGATTCTTACGTGCTTCTTTGCAACTGTGTGTATCCAGCCTTACGTAATTTTGTTATATGAGGATTGTCGTCAGCACCCAGCTGTTTCCGCGTCATGCTATGGAAGTGCTGACATCCTGGCGGATGTTAAGGAAGGGAAAGGGCCTTGGCTCCGCACCTCCCAGGTGCTGTGGGTCAAGTTAAAACCCAGAGCGCCCTCAAGGGAGGAGATTCCCCCGCCAGGAGCCTCCACCCACCTCGGGTGAGAAGACTCAGGCTTCTCCATCAGAATCGGCCTATAATCCTGACCTGCTTGGCTCAGTGGATAGAGCGTCGGCCTACGAACTCAAGGGTCCCAGGTTCGATTCCGGTCAAGGGCATGTACCTTGGTTGCGGGCACATCCCCAGTGGGGAGTGTGCAGGAGGCAGCTTGATCAATGTTTCTAACTCTCTATCCCTCTTCCTTCCTCTCTGTAAAAATCAATAAAATCTATTAAAGAGAGAGAGAGAGAGAGAGAGAGAGAGAGAGAGAGAGAGAGAGAGAGAGAGAGACTTGGCCTATAAAACCCTCCTGCCTAGAAAGATGGATTTGCCCCACATGAAAAGAAATGGCTCCAAAAAATTAGGAAAAGGTCTCCCGGTGCCTAAGGAATGGCTTGGGGAGGAGGGGGTAAAGGAACTTTTAAAAAGTATCAGAAATGATGGCTGGGTCTTGGGATGGCGCTTACTCTGTACAGCCCGCGGGCTAACCTTACGCATGAAATGTCTCACTTAATTTTAAAAATCCCGAGGAAGTACCATTGTTACTCCCAGTTTTGCAAAGGAGGAACGTGAGGCTCAGGAGACAGAACAACTAACTGCTGCCCAAAGTCAGAATGCCCAGCTTTTCCTGACGAGACCCTGAGCTGAGGCCCTCGCTCACACCATCCAGTCCCCATTCCTTCTTCCTGAGCGTGGCGTGCAGTGAGGGCCCGCGGGCCCATGTCTGGTCCTGTGTCTGCTGGAAGTGACCCCGGGGGGCCCTCTGCTTCCACCTCTTCACTTTATTATTATTATTATTTTTAAAAGACATATTTTATTGATTTTTTACAGAGAGGAAGAGAGAGGGATAGATGAGATCGATCAGCTGCCTCCTGCACACCCCCCCCCCCCCCCAATGGGGATGTGCCCACAACCAAGGTACATGCCCCTGACCAGAATCGAACCTGGGACCCTTCAGTCCGCAGGCCGATGCTCTATCCACTGAGCCACACCGGTTTCGGTGCCGCGTCCTCACTTCAGAGAGGAGGACTCTGGGACTCAGTGCTGGGGGGACTTGCCCCGGGCCCCACAGGGCCGGCCCGCTGTGCCCGGCGTAGAAACGTGCGCGGACTTCCAGGCCAGGCTCACCCTACACCAGGGGGCCTGAGGGGGAGGGAGCCCTGGTCCCGGGCCCTCAGAGGCAGAGCCGGGTCCGCCCCGGGCGCCAGGCGCGGCCCTGCCCACCCGCAGTTCCTCCCCCGGCGGCGCCCACCGCCCGCGCCCGACTCCGCCGGCGGCGCGCAGGCCGCGGCGCGGGGGGCAGGACGCCGACACGGAGCCGGGCTTCCCCTCGCCGGACCCCTTCGCCTCGGAACGCGGGGGCCCGAGCGCGCGGACGGAGGACCCCAAGGAGAACTGGGGAGCGCCAGCCCGGGAGGCCAGCCCCCTCCGCTCCCCCTCAAGCGGCCGCAGACCTGGGCTAACGCCGGGCACCTGAGGGGGAGCGACGGCGTCGCGCTCCAGTCCAGCTGCCGGGCCTTAGAGGGGCCAGGTTCCCATGGAAACCAGCGGAGGCTCTCGGCGCCTGCGCCGACGCGCTAGGCACTCTGGGAAACGTAGTTCCAGGCCTGGCGCACCGGGTAGCCGAGAACTAACGCGAGATGGCGCCCGAGCGTAGCGGGCGGTTCCGAGTCGCCGGGTTTGCGGCCCCGGCGCCGCCGCGGGCGGGGGAGAGGCCGCGGAGGCCTGAGAGGCGGTTTCTGTCGGCAGCCGCGGCTCTGAGGCGTCTGGGATGCCGGGTGCAGAGACCGGGCGCGTTCAGCTTTGCCTTTGGGAAACCTGCCCTGGCGAGGGGCCGCCCTGGCTGCGCCGCCCGACGGAGGGCGAAGGTTCTAGGCGGGAGCTGGCCCCGGAGGAAGCGGCTGTCCGAGGGGCGTCAGCTCACAGGTGTTCGAGCCTGGGCTGGGCGACAGCGGCTGCTCCTGAGGCCCCTGTGTCCGGGGGAGCAGAGGCCGCCCTGATCCTCCCCCGGAGCTCCCAGCCCTCCGAGCCCGCCTCGGCCTCAGCTGCGAGCTCAGTGCGGGGACCGCCCTCCGGCCTGAGACCTAGAAACCCGGGGTCTGACTCAGTGACTCAGGTCACCGCTCCGGCCTCCGTTTCCTGCCCGGTAAAGCGGCGGTCACGATAAAGCTGCCCTTTCTGCCCTGGGAGTGTTGCAAGGCTCCCGTGAGACGGCGTTGAGGTGCAGGCTGAACCGTCCGTGCGCTGTGCATTGGTGCAACTTCTCCGGAGGAAATGAGGCAACGCCTCTCAACATTGAAAATGCACGCAGCCGTTGCTTCGGCAATTTTAGAAATTGTGGATAGCACGAATGGGGAAAAAACAACAACACATCAACTGAAATGTTCACCATTTAAGTTCACTTAAGTAAATCATGGGTTCCATCCTGTAGAATGTGTGGTTATCCTATGTAATAAAAGGCTAGTATGCAAACTGACCGAACAGCAGAGAGTGGCTGTGATGCTCACTGAACGCAGGAGCTGCCCCCTGGTGGTCAGGGTGCTCCATCGGGGGAGCACCACTCAGCCGGAAGCTGGGCTCATGGCTGCTGTGGAGGTGGGGGCGGAGCCTCTCCAGCCTCCGTGGCAGCACTAAGGATGTCCAACTGACAGCTCAGGCCCACTCCCAGCGCCAAAGTGTCAGTCAGACATCCCCTCAGGGCTCCCAGTCTGTGAGAGGGTCAGGCGGGGCCGAGTGCACGAATTTCACACACCAGGACTCTAGTTTTAAATAAGACAGAGCAGCAGCTCCTTTTGCTCAAATAAATGCTTTTTATTCTTTAAAAATAAATAAAAATAAGGCAGAGCTTGTTATACTGGTGTGCAACTCTTTGTGATATGCAAAACTTTTCAAAGTGAGAATAGTATGTTAACATACAATTCATATTTTTGAAAAGAATACACACAAATATTTGATGACATAAGCACGAATGTCTTTGGAACCTCTCAAGAAGCTGGTAACAGTGGTTGCCTGTGAAAGATTGAAGGATAGGATCTGAGGGACACTTTTAATTTTGTCTTTTTTTAAAAAAACATTTTTTGCCCCTTTAACAATTCGTGAGTTTGTATATAGCGTTCTTAATCATTTGTCTGCATTTTTTATGCAGTTTCCAGTTTTTGTTCTTTTGTGTGCTGAACTCTTACTGCTTTTTAAAAATATATTTTATTGATTTTTTTACAGAGAGGGATAGAGAGTTAGAAACATCGATGAGAGAGAGTCATTGATCAGCTGCCTCTTGCACACCCCTCACTAGGGATGTGCCTGCAACCAAGGTACATGCCCTCGACCGGAATCGAACCCGGGACCTTTCAGTCTGCAGGCCAACGCTCTATCGACTGAGCCAAACCAGTTTCGGCTGAACTCTTACTTCTCAAGAGTCCTCCATAGACTCTAGTGGGCCCACAGCTCTGAGCTCACAGCTGGACGTTCCCAGCACTGTCCCTCCCACCTGCCCCAGGGGAGTGTGGGTGAGCCTCCTGGGTAGCTATAGGGAGACATGCAGTCCCTAGTGTTTGCTCAGCAGGGTGGACCAGCTAAGTGGATCGAGAATCAGATCAAACTTCTCTGTACCCCACCTTATGACCTTTGGCCCGACAGCCACAGACAGGAACAGACAATTCCTCAGAGGCTGAATTCTGTCCGGCATAATGACATGTATGTTAAAATATCCCAGTGGGAGGGGTGCTCAGGGATTTCCTGGCCTCATCCCTCTGTTTTATAGTAACTTACAAGGTACTTCACCTTAAGCGGGAGAGCCAGGGTTAGAAGCCTCCTGTCCCTCAGTGCTCTAGGATTAGCGCACCAGGTTATGGAGAAGAGACTCATTCTTAAAACGAAGCATCAGGCCCTGGCTGGTTTGGCTCAGTGGGTAGATCATCAGCCTGCACACTGAAGGTCCCGGGTTTGATTCCAGCCTCCACTTCATGAGTAACTCCCTTCAGCTGTCCCAACAGAGCAAGCACATACAGTCCAGGTTGCAGGCTCCGTCGCCAGTAGGGGGCGTGCACGAGGCAGCTGATCAATAATTCCCATCATTGATGTTTCTATCTCTCTCTCCCTTACCCTGCCTCTCTGAAATCAATAAAAAAAATATTTAAAAAACCCAAAACAAAACTGGGCATTAGCCAAGACCGGTTTGGCTCAATGGATAGAGCGTTGGCTTGGGGACTGAAAGGTCCCAGGTTCGATTCCGGTCAAGGGCATGTACCTTGGTTGCGGGCATATCCCCAGTGCGGGGTGTGCAAGAGGCAGCTGATCGATGTCTATCTCTCATCTATGTTTCTAACTCTAACTCACTCTCTTCCTCTCTGTACAAAATCAATAAAATATATTTAAAAAAAAAACAAAACAAAAACTGGGCATCAGGTCTCAAATTAATGAAAACATTTGGTGCCAGCTCTACCTGAGGCTTGCTTTGAGGGAATAACCCCCCACTTACCCACCCCAACCAAAGCAGTGTGGCGCAGGCCAGAGGATGTGACCTTGGGAAGAGGGGCGACCAGTGACAACAATGGGGCCACTTCTCGAATGCTGCACCTAAGCAGAAGGAGCCCCTAGGCCAAGGGGGAGGCCCAGCGAGGCTGGCAGGAAAAGGGTGGTTAGGACCCAACGTGTGCCCAAGAACTAGCATCAGGTGTCCAAAAGGAGCCTCGAGGTTCGGAGCAGGCTTGGTCCTGTCCGGGCAGGTGTTGGCAGCCTCCGCCTCCTCATGAGTAACTCCCTCCAGCTGTCCCAGCAGAGCAAGCTCCTCAGGCCCAATGCAGGCTTGTTCCCCGCCGCGCCCCCCCACCCCCACCGAGGGGGCGTGGGCAGCTGGCAGTACCCAGGCCCTGCCCTAGGAGACGGGGAGACCACACTGGCCTCCCTCCTTTCCCATTCTCCCTCCCACCCCACCCCACAGGCACCTCTCAGGACACCAGGGAATGGTGGGGGACTGGAGGAGTAAAAAGAGGCCAGACTCCTTGTGGGACCACAGAAGCAAGGGGCTGACAGCAGATGGCTTCATCATAAAATCAAAAATAATATGAAAATGTCTTTTTTATTTCTAAGTACAAAGTCAGACACTACGAAGACTGGAAAACTATGCAGGACAAAAAGAGGACTCTCTTTGGCCTGGTGCCCTGTGTCCCAGGGCTGTGCCATGGCAGGGAGGTGGGTGTTGGGGGGAGGGGTTGGAAGGGGCAGCAGCAAAAAACCGCAGATGGCTGTAAGGTGTGTGAGGGAGGCCAACCTGCCGGCCCCACCAGAGCGCCCAGCTCTCTGCTCCTCAGAGCCCCCCGGGAGGAAGGGGGCAGAGATGAGGCAGACGGGGTGGGTGAGGGAGGGAGAGGAGGGAGCCTGGGGACTGTTTTATCCCACGGCTGCACGTGTTTCAGGCAGCGGGTGAGAACGCCCCCAGAGCACCCCCATTCTCTCACTCTATCCCCCATGGCAGAGCAAGCGCTGAGCCCTGGACAGTGGACATGGGTCTGAGACTTAAGGCTGAAGAGTCTGAGGCTGTAGTGAAGGGGCCTGGACCCCCTGGGCGGAGCTAAGGAGTGAGACACGCTGCCCGGAGTGAGGTGTGCCCATCCCAGGAGCTGTGTGCAGGGCCTCTGCTAGTGTCTAAGGGGGCGCAGGCACGTGTGAGGCTCAGGCCTCGCCCTCCTCCCCGCTGCTGTCCACGCTGGCCTGCCTCACCACCCTCCTGAGCCTGGGTGTGGAGGAAGCACCAGCCTCCCTCGGTCCCGGCTCCTGCTCCTGCTTTTGCTCCTGCTCCTGCTCCTGGAAGGCCCGGCTCCGGCTGGCCACCAGGGCGGCGCTGTTGAGAGCAACCACAGACTGGCGGGACTTCAGGGCAGGCCAAGACCCCTTGCAGAGCCGCCTGCCTCCCTTGGCCTCAGAGACCTGAAGAACGGGCTGTGGAGGGTCTTCGTCTGAGGTTTCGCTCGAAGAGAAAACCTGGGAGGGGGAAAGGATAAGGAAAAAGAGTCACAGAGCACAGAGCCCGGAAAAGGCTGGGTGCAGAATGTTTGTTGACTGAATACGAAAAAACCGAGCTGCTCATGAGTCACATTTCCCTAGGAGGGAAGACCCCTCAAAGCCCTACTGCCCTTGCTCCTCAGCCCTCACCTGTCTAAGCTTTCTGGCCCCAGAAGCCCTCCCTAGCTTCTCTGCACCTGCCATGTCATCAAGGCCCCTACTTCCTCATCTCGCCCCCTCTGCCTTTTTTTTTTTTTTTTAAATATATTAATTTCGTACAGAGAGGAAGGGAGAGAGAGAGTTAGAAACATCAATGAGAGAGAGAGTCATCGATCAGCTGACTCCTGCACACCCCCCACCGGGGATATGCCCGCAACCAAGGTACATGCCCTTGACCGGAATTGAACCCGGGACCCTTCAGTCCCCAAGCCAACGCTCTATCCATTGAGCCAAACCGGTTTCGGCTCCCTCTGCCTTTTTTGATTTGAGAGATTTGTTGTTCCACTTATTTATGCATTCATTAGTTGATTTTTAAAAATATATATTTTACTGATTTTTTTTACAGAGAGGAAGAGAGAGGGACAGAGAGTTAGAAACATCGATGAGAGAGAATCATCGATCAGCTGCCTCCTGCACACCCCCTCTGAGGATGTGCCTGCAACCAAGGTACATGCCTCTGACCGGAATCGAACCTGGGACCTTTCAGTCCGCAGGCCGACGCTCTATCCACTGAGCCAAACCGGTTTCTGCTCATTAGTTGATTTTTTTTTTAAATATTTCTTTGCTGATTTCAGAGAGGAAGGGAGAGGGAGATCAATGATGAGAGAGAATCACTGAATGGCTGCCTCCTGCACACCCCTGCTGGGGACAGAGCCCAAAATCCTGGCATGTGCCCTTGACCGGAATCGAATCCAAAACCCTTTAGTCTGCAGGCTGATGCTCTATCCACTGAGCCACACCGGCTAGGGCGCATTAGTTGATTCTTGTATGTGTCCTGGCCAGGGACTGAACCCACAACCTTGGTGTGTTGGGACAAGACTCTAACCAACTGAGCTACCCAGCCAGGTGCCCCCTCTGCCTAGACAGTCATTTGTGAAACACATTGCAGGTGCCAGGGCCCTGAGCTGGGAGTGGGGTGAGGACAGCCTGCCTTAAGGACCGCCCACACCCACCCACCGCCATTCCTTCTTCCCCATCCTTCCACACCAGCGCCTCCTCCTCCGGGAGGCTCTCCCCAAACGCCCCCTCTCTGAGATGAGCCCTCCTTCCCTGGGCCAGCCAGGACTTTGCTCGCCTCAGTGCTGTAACCCTCTGCATCTCCTCCTCTGATGTGCTGCCTCTCAGATTTGGGAAGGGCTGCCAAGATCATCTCATCTGCCCCCCTCGAGGGCCAGCAGCCAGAGGTCTAGCCCCTGGCCTGGGGAGGATGCTGACCGCACAGCCGGGCCGCCCTGCCCCTTAGGAAGCAAATCCTTTCGCCAGGAGGAGAGCCGCCTGCAGCCTCCCGCCGGGCTCACTCCCCGGAGCCCGGGTGCCCCGGTCCCACGACGGCTCTCCCGCCCCCTGGAGGCAGCCTCAGCTGCCCTCATTAGCTCCTCTCCGCTCCGAGGGACCAGGTCCCCGTGCTCAGGCCCCCTTGCTCGTCGATCCTGGTCCCTCTCCATCCTCCCGCCACCTGCCCCTCCTCCTGGTCCCAGCCCAGCCTCACCTCCGGCAGGTCCGCGGCCCCGGCCCCGGGGGCGCGCTCCGGCTCCAGCTCCAGCTCCGAGGGCGGCTCCAGGAGGCTGATGGACCGCATGACCCCGCGGAGGTTGATGCGCGGCCGTGGTCCGGGCTCTTCCCTCGGGGACGGCTGGCTCTCCGCCAACCCCGTGGCCAGCACCTCCCCACTGCCCCCCGGTTCCGGCGGGAACAGCGGGGACGGCGCACAGACCCCGGGGGCCAGGGCCTCCTCCGGGGAGGCCCCGCCCGCTTTCTGCTCCCAGACGTGGCTCTGCCGGCTGCGAGGAGACGGGCCCGGTCAGCTCGGAGCGGCGGCGGCATCCCGCCCCGCCCCGCCCCCCGCGCGGTACCGGCCGTCAGGATCCCGCCCCCGCCCCGCCCCGCCCCCCGCGGTACCTGGCCGTCAGGATCCCGCCCCGCCCCGCCCCGCCCCCCGCGGTACCTGGCCGTCAGGATCCCGCCCCGCCCCCCGCGCGGTACCCGGCCGTCAGGATCCCGCCCCGCCCCGCCCCCCGCGCGGTACCCGGCCGTCAGGATCCCGCCCCGCCCCGCCCCCCGCGCGGTACCCGGCCGTCAGGATCCCGCCCCGTCCCGCCCCCCGCGCGGTACCCGGCCGTCAGGATCCCGCCCCGCCCCGCCCCCCGCGCGGTACCTGGCCGTCAGGATCCCGCCCCGCCCCCCGCGCGGTACCGGCCGTCAGGATCCCGCCCCGCCCCCCGCGCGGTACCTGGCCGTCAGCATCCCGCCCCGCCCCGCCCCCCGCGCGGTACCCGGCCGTCAGGATCCCGCCCCGCCCCGCCCCCCGCGCGGTACCCGGCCGGCAGGATCCCGCCCCGCCCCGCCCCGCCCCCCGCGCGGTACCCGGCCGGCAGGATCCCGCCCCGCCCCGCCCCGCCCCCCGCGCGGTACCCGGCCGTCAGGATCCCGCCCCGCCCCCCGCGCGGTACCTGGCCGGCAGGATCCCGCCCCGCCCCCCGCGCGGTACCTGGCCGTCAGGATGCCCTGGTAGGTCTGCAGCTGGCGCAGGAAGCCCGGGTTGGGGCGGGCGATGGGCCGGAGCTCCTGCACGTGGCGCAGGGCCTGCTCCAGGCCCCAGCCGTACTGCTTCATGGCGTACGCCACCACCGTGGCCGCCGAGCGGCTGACGCCCATCTTGCAGTGGACGAGCACCCGGGTGCCCTGCGCTCTGTGGAGGCAGGACGGGTGAGCCCCGGCCCGGCCCCTCGCTGCGAGGGCCCTGCCGTATGGGGGGGGCAGGCAGGGCACAGGGGAGGAGGCTGCCCGGGCACATGGGAGGACACCGGGGAGGACACGGGGAGGACACGGGGGAGGACACGGGGAGGACACGGGGGAGGACACGGGGAGGACACGGGGAGGACACGGGGGAGCACACGGGGGAGGACACGGGGGAGGACACGGGGAGGACACGGGGGAGCACACGGGGAGGACACGGGGGAGCACACGGGGGAGCACACGGGGGAGGACACGGGGAGGACACGGGGGAGCACACGGGGGAGCACACGGGGGAGGACACCGGGGAGCACACGGGGGAGCACACGGGGGAGCACACCGGGGAGCACACGGGGGAGCACACGGGGGAGCACACGGGGGAGCACACGGGGGAGGACACGGGGAGCACACGGGGGAGCACACGGGGGAGCACACGGGGGAGGACACGGGGGAGCACACGGGGGAGCACACGGGGGAGGACACGGGGGAGCACACGGGGAGCACACGGGGGAGCACACCGGGGAGCACACGGGGGAGCACACGGGGGAGGACACGGGGAGGACACGGGGGAGCACACGGGGGAGGACACGGGGAGCACACGGGGGAGCACACGGGGGAGGACACGGGGAGCACACGGGGGAGCACACGGGGGAGGACACGGGGGAGCACATGGGGGAGGACACGGGGGAGCACACGGGGGAGCACACAGGGGAGCACACGGGGGAGGACACGGGGAGGACACGGGGAGGACACGGGGGAGGACACGGGGAGGACACGGGGGAGCACACGGGGGAGGACACGGGGGAGGACACGGGGGAGCACACGGGGGAGCACACAGGGGAGGACACGGGGGAGGACACGGGGGAGCACACGGGGGAGCACACGGGGGAGCACACGGGGGAGGACACGGGGGAGGACACGGGGGAGCACACGGGGGAGCACACGGGCCCAGGCACCGGGGAGGAGGCAGGGGAGAAGCAGCGGGAGGAGGGCGTGGGCCCTGCCGCGGGCGGTGGCGGGGGCTGGGTACGGGGGAGGAGGCAGGGGAGAAGCAGCGGGAGGAGGGTGTGGGCCCTGCCGCGGGCGGTGGCGGGGGCTGGGCACGGACCGGGCGGCCTCCAAGAAGCGGTGCGTCTCCTTCCAGTGCGGCAGCAGCTGGGCGGACTCCTCGTCCCAGAGGCGCACGTTGTGGTAGGTGAAGCGCTCGGGGTAGAAGTTGTCGATCTCCCGGGCCATGTTCAGGATGTGGCTGACCCTGCGGGGGGCGGGCAGCTGCCTGGCCGGGGGCTCAGGTCACCACCGGCCAGGGGACCTGGCGGGCCGGGCGTTCCTGTCTCGTTCTCGGCTCTGAGCCAGGTGGGGCGGCACGGGCACGACGGGAGAGGTGAGGCCGGCAGCCCCGGGCCCATCATGGCACCCCCTGGGCCTGGGTCCCCTCTAGTCTGCAACCTGGGCCTCCGGTTACTCTCAGAAGCCAGTCTGAGAACAGCCGCTGAGAGCAGCTGGTGCTGGGCCCTAACTGGTGGGCGAATGATCGGAACCCACGGGAGCCAGCAGCCGGTGCCCCCGCGAGAGGGGCACCTCCATCCCCCTCACGGCGTGGGGGGGGGGGGGGGGAGAGGGGCCAGGGACCACAGCCAGCCGGCACGGGGCGGTTCTGTTCCGCCCAAGAGCATGCCGAGGGGCACGGCCCGGGCTCGGGCTGGAAGCTGAGTTAGCAGCTGCCAAGGGGAGTCCGGGGGCTTCTGACCAGGCGGCCCCTGAAGGGAGGCCAGGCAAGAGGGGTGACAGGCTACGGGCAGGCTCAAACCCTACCTGTTCCTCTGCAGCTCTTCCAGGTTCGCTGCGTTCCACTCCGAGCCCTGTGGGCAGACAGGGAGAGAAGCGCCATTCTCCCCCGCACCGCACCGGCCGGCCACGGTCTCCGCCACCCCCACCTCTGCCCGCCCCCGGCTCACCAGGTAGAGGTGGGGGAAGATGCGGGAGGCCCGGTCCCGCTGCGCCATGAGCAGCAGCATCTGGTTGTCGATGAAGTCGCGGTACTGCTGGAGGGGGTGCCCCAGGCGCAGCTCCAGGGCCTGGCGGATCTGCGGGCGGGAAGGACGGGACAGGTCCCTGAGCCCCCCTCCCCTCCGGGCCTCTGGGGACAGGCCGTCCATCCGTGCGGGAGAGCTGAGGCCAAGCGCCCGGGCTGGCCGGGGACGGGGGAAAGCTGGGCGGGAAGACTCCGAGGGGAGGAAAGCTGGCTCCCAGCCGGAGGGTTCCTCCACCCCCTCCGAGCCCGGCTTCCTCCCGGCCCCGCACCCTGCCCACCTCTTTGGAAGTGACGCTGTCCAGGTCACTGGTGTCCAACACCTTCCACAGCTCGGCCCGGATGGCCTGCTCCATCTGCTCCTGTTCCGAGGACCTGAGAGCCGAGCCCGTCAGTCAGTCAGTCCGGGGGCCCTTTCCCTGCTTTGCCATGGCACCACCCCACCTCCCCCCGCCCCCCATTTCCTGCCTGCCCTGGACCGACCTGCCAGGCTCGGCGCTGGGGGGCCGCAGAGACTCCAGGTCAGCCATGGCCATCCACTCGTTGAGACAGCTCTGGTCAGAGCTCAGTCTGTCCTGGTAGTGGCTGGCCCAGGTGAGGGCACTGCCCCCTGGCACCAGACCGCTGCCCAGAGCCGCCTCACACGCCTGGTGCAGCACCTGGAGCGTGGCCCTGGGGCAGAGAGAGGCTGGGCGGCGCCGTCCTCCCCGCCTCCCCGCCGGGACCCGCAGCCGGCTCTGAGGAGGGGCCCGCTGAGCCGGCCCGCCGGCTCTTACCACATGGTCTGGATGGAGATCGGCTTGAAGATTCGACTCTGCCCGCCGGACGTCACACTGAAGCCCCTGAGGGAGAGCAGGGAGGTGGAACCCGCTCCGGGCCTGTGACAGAGCCCCTTGGAGGCGCACCCACCGGCCACCTCATGAGGCGGGTCCTCACACCACGTACGCCTTTGAGCTTCAAAATAAGCCCCTTCTGCCAGACCTGGGGCAGCTGAGGCCCAGAGCAGTTAGGTGACCTGCCCAGGACCACACAGTAAGTCTGAGGTCGGGCTGGGAGTAGGCCGGGCCTCAGACACTCGGCCTGGGGACCACAGCAGCTGCCCGGTGCCCCCCACCCCCATCATCTGCACCACATCCTCGCCTCGCCGCTCCTCTCCCCTCCCCCGCCCTCCAGGTGCCCCTCTTACCCATCTCCGTCGAGGTACACCTGGGTGTCACTCCAGAGAGGCAACACCAGGCCCAGGGTGCAGCTGTGGGAGCTGGCGGGACAGGGGGAGGCCGTTGCTCCCCAGCACCCCACTTCCCAGCCCCCCCACTTCCTCTCCCCGCTCCCACCTGCTGTCCGGGAAGTCCACTCCCAGGAGGACCATCTCGTCCTGGCTCTCGCCGTCTCTTGTGGAGACGAGCAGCAGGTAGCGGAGCCGGGGCGGCCGGGCTGCCTCCAGCTGGGCTGCCTGGGGTGGGGGGTGGGGAGACAGAATGCCAAGGTCAGCGTGGCCCCGTGGACCCTGCCCCCCTCCCCGGGATGCACACCGGGCCTAGGGCAGACCTGCTCCCGCCACACCGCCCCCTTCTCCCCAGACAGCAATCCGCGGGCGCGTTCCAGGGGTTCCAACTTTTGAACGTTATGGTCAATAAAACGTTTTGAAAGGTTTTCTTGAAAGGGTGCACGTGTGGGGAGAAGGGGAGCATGAACCCGACAAAGACTGCCCGTGTTTTATTTTTGCCTGGGAAGGAGGTTTCAAACAAACCCTTTCGCTTGCCATTACCACCATTTCATCCAAGAAACGTTTCTCACCAAAGAAATAGGAAAGACGCGATCTCACCTCAAAAGACGGTCCCCGTGGAGTGAACTCAGCTCCACGAAAGACGGACCGCCTCCCTTTCCCTCTGGCTGCAGTGAGAGGGCCCCCAGGCATCCGGGGACCAGGCCTCGCGCTCCCACCTGTGTCCGCCCCCCAGGCCCCCAGCACCGGCTCCTGTGAGCGCTCACGGCTCCCTGAGCCCGGCCTCTGGGCGGCTCGCACTGTTGGGCAGGCCTTGCTGCATTTGCCCAGAAACCCGTCCCTGTGTGGCCCCAGCGCTTGGGTCAGACGGGCCCTACAGGCTCCTGCAGAACAGACCCCGGTCCTCTCCCAGCCCTCAGGCACCTGGAGACAGAGCCTCTCCCTGATAAACCACCCAGGGTGCCCCCTGCCCTCCCCCCACTGCTCCCCAGACATGCACAGCGGCTCCAGGGAGGACTCTCCCCCCCAGAGGGCCCTCACCAGGCGGATGTCGTCCTGCGGCCTCAGCAGCTCCACCATGAGGCGGAGGTGCTGACTCTGCTCCTGCTTCTGGGGGCTCTGGGGCCCATGCCCGCTGTCCGTCTGGTCCCCGCCGAGCTGCTCTTCCCCCGAGGGCTCCCCCGAGGGCCGAGGGCTGGGCTCCGAGGCCTCCTCACCGTCCCCTCCGTCCTGCAGCCCCAGCACCGCCCCATGCAGCACCGCGAAGCTCTGCCTGGTGGGGCGAGGAAACGTGCCGGCCGGTTGTCCCTCTCAGGACAGAGGCCCCTCAGATCCCCCCGAGGGCCCTCAAAACAGGAGTGGAGCCCTGGTGGGTGTGGCTCAGAGGATAGAGCGTCGGCCTGCGGACTGAAGGGTCCCTGGTTCGATTCCGGTCAGGGGCATGTACCTTGGCTGCGGGCACATCCCCGGTGGGGGGTGTGCAGGAGGCAGCTGATCGACGTTTCTCTCTCATCGATGTTTCTGACTCTCTATCCCTCTCCCTCCTGTGTGTGAAAAATCAATGAAACATATCTAAATAAATAAAACAGGTGTTGGGCCCCACCGGCAGCGCCAGCAGGTGTGCAGTGTGGAGGCCTGGGAACTGAGTTTCCAGCGTGGGCCACCACCCTCGGAGCATTGCTCCCTCTTTCTTCCCACCCGCCTAGCTCACGGGCCCTGGACGCCGAACGGGGGCCAGGGGTCCTCAGGCCCTGCAGGCCCGTCTTGCCCTACAGCCAAGGTCTGGCCTAACGGGCGGAGGGCCCCAAATGATCGGGGGGAGATGAAGGCAAAGGCAGCCAGCTTGGGCGCGAGCCAGCCCTGCCCACGGCGGCTGGCTGTCTGCCAGCCCTCCGGGCGGCCGCGGCCGGTGCCCATCAGCCCAGGTGCTCCATCAGCATCCGCTCCCTGCGCTCCGACGGAGGCCTGTGGGGGGGGGAGTGCTCACCTTCGCTGGAGCCGGCTTCTCCGCCTGGAGGCCTGGTCCTGCTGGGAAAGCAGCGACCCAGGCAGGGTTAGGGCGTGCGGGGGGGGGGGGGGGGGGAATTCCCCCCCAGGTGGAACCAGCAGACCCCGGGCAGGGTTAGGGCGTGCGGGGGGGGGGGGGGGGGAATTCCCCCCCAGGTGGAACCAGAAAATGTGCCAGGTACTCCCCACCCCAGTCTGCACCACCGGAGGCACCAGGGGTCCAGCCCGGGGCCAGGCAGCAGCGGGGTGAGGGCGGGTGGGGTGCTGGAGTTTGGCCCACATCTGGGCCACGAAGCGGGTAGGGCCTCACTGGCTGGTCTGGCGCTCAGAGCTCTGCGCCTTACCTTGTCAGAGTTCTGGAGCCTCAAGACCCTCCCCTGCAGCTGAGCCCTGGATCCTACCCCCCCCCCCCACTCTGCGGAGCCCTGAGTCCTCCCCCCCCACCTGCAGCTGAGCCCTGGGTCCTCCCCCCCCACCTACAGCTGAGCCCTGAGTCCTCCCCCCCCCACCTGCAGAGACCTGAATCCTCCACCCCACCTGCAGCTGAGCCCTGGATCCTCCCCCCCCCCACCTGCAGCTGAGCCCTGGGTCCTCCCCCCCACCTGCAGCTGAGCCCTGGGTCCTCCCCCCCCACCTGCAGCTGAGCCCTGGGTCCTCCCCCCCCACCTGCAGCTGAGCCCTGGGTCCTCCCCCCCACCTGCAGCTGAGCCCCGGCCCCCCCCTCCCCGCACCTCAGCCTGGAAGGGAGGCTGCCGGCGGGCAGCCAGCTCCGGGGGCGGGACCAGCCAAGCCGGACTCACCGGGGGCCCCACCGGCGTGGAGCAGCCGCTGGCGGGGGGCGAGCGGCTGACGGTGACCAGGGCCATGGGGTCGGCGGGAGCACCTGGCGGCGCGGGCACAGACCTCCCGGCGCACGGACGGCCCTGCCCGGCGGGACCAGGAAGGAGACGGAGCCGCCCGGGCCTGGCACCTCCTCGGGGCGGCCCTTAAAGGGCCAGCGCCGTCCGGCCGCTGCGCAGCCCGCACCGCAGGCCGCCCGCCCCGCCCTCGGCCTCCCGCCGGCCGGTCCCGCCTCCGAAGCACGTTAAGGAGGAGCCGGGGCGGGGCGGGCGCAGGTGAGGTGGCCGGACCCGGAGGGCGAGGGCTGGTCCTCCTCCCCGGAGCACCCAGCCCGCCTCCCGCCCCGGCCCCCGCCCCGGCACCGGCCCGCCTCCCGCCCCGGCCCCCGCCCCGGCCCCGGCCCCGGCCCCCGGCCCCGCCCCGGCCCCGGCCCCCGGCCCCCCGGCCCCGGCCCGGCCCCCGGCCCCGTCCCGGCCCGGCCCCCGTCCCGACCCTGGACCCCGGCCCCCCCCCCCCGCCCCGGCCCCCGCCCCGGCCCGGCCCCCGGCCCCCGGCCCCGTCCCGTCCCGGCCCCCGTCCCGACCCCGGACCCCGGCCCCCCCGCCCCGGACCCCGCCCCGCCCCGACCCCGGACCCCGGCCCCCCCCGCCCCGGCCCCGCCCCCGGCCCCCGCCCCCGGCCCCCGCCCCGCCCAGCCGGGCCGCTGGACTCTGCTTCGGCCTCAAAGTCCTATGAGCAGAGGTGGGTCCGGGAAGGCGGGAACGGGGAGCACAGGCTTAGAGGACCAGACAGGGCGGGGCACCCCAAACCTCTCTCCGGCTGGCGGACCCTCTGCTCCCCCTGTGGGTCCCCGGAGACACGCGGGGGTGGGGGGTTCGGGCCGCCTGTAGGGGCGGGTGGCCGAGCGGGTCCGCGGGGGGACTCCATGGCCGGGCCGCCTGGAGGGGGGGGCTGAGCGGGTCCAGGGGGGAGGGGGGAGGGCCGCCTGGAGGGGGGGGCGGAGCGGATCCAGGGGGGTGGGGGTCGGGCCGCCTGGAGGGGGGGGGCTGAGCGGGTCCAGGGGGGATGGGGGGAGGGCCGCCTGGAGGGGGGGACTGAGCGGGTCCAGGGGGGAGGGGGGAGGGCCGCCTGGAGGGGGGGTGGCTGAGCGGGTCCAGGGGGGAGGGGGGGAGGGCCGCCTGGAGGGGGGGGCTGAGCGGGTCCAGGGGGGATGGGGGGAGGGCCGCCTGGAGGGGGGGGCTGAGCGGGTCCAGGGGGGAGGGGGGAGGGCCGCCTGGAGGGGGGGTGGCTGAGCGGGTCCGGGGGGGGAGGGGGGGAGGGCCGCCTGGAGGGGGGGGCTGAGCGGGTCCAGGGGGGAGGGGGTCGGGCCGCCTGGAGGGGGGGGGGGGCTGAGCGGGTCCGCGGGGGACTCCATGGCCGGCCAGTCAGCAGGGGCCGGCGGTGCAGGCTCTGGCTGTGAGGGTCTGAGGGCTCCGTGTCCCCCTCCTGGCGGCACAGGAGTGGGTCCCGGGGAAGCCAGACCGGGGGCCGGAGCACCTGGGTCTGGGAGGTGGCACAGGCTCCGGGGAATTGGTTTTTGTGAAGCACCAACTACTAGACACACGCTGGCTCCTTCCCCCCCACCCCGTTCCCCCCGCCCCCCAGCTCCCCCCGCCTCCCGGCTCCCTCCTAGCTCCGCCCCCCTGGCTCCTACCCCCGCTCCCCCCTCCCGGCTCCTCCCCCCTCCCAGCTCCACCCCCCCAGCTCCCTCCCCCCCCCTCCCGGCTCCCCCCCAGCTCCCTCCCTCCCTCCCAGCTCCCCCCCCCAGCTCCCTCCCCCCCTCCGGCTCCCCCCCAGCTCCCTCCCTCCCTCCCAGCTCCACCCCCCCCAGCTCCCTCCCCCCCTCCGGCTCCCCCCCTCCCGGCAGCCCTGGGGGAGCAGTGGTCTCCTCAGGCTCAGAGGCTGAGGGGGCGTGGCCAAGACGTGACGCCATCACCCAGGTGTGACGCCATCACCCAGTGTCTCCCCGCGGCTTCCACCCAACGGAGCAGAGCACGCGGCCGCCGAAGGTTCTTTATTTCCATCTGGGCTCCAGGCCCCGGCCTCAGCGGCAGGCCGTTCATAAATAAATAAGTTACAAAAGCGGGGGTGGGGGGGCCTGGACAGCCCCCCGGCCGCAGTCCGGCTCAGTGTTCCGTGAGAGACAGCCGCAGGATGCGCTGCAGGTCCTCCTCCTCCTGCTGCCCCCGCCGCTCCCGCTCCTCCTGCTCCCGGGAGGACAGCTCCAGGGCCAGGCGCAGCTGCTCCTCGAAGCTGGGGGCGGCGGGGGCGGGGGGCGCGCTGCGAGGGGCCCCCGGGCCCCGGGGCTCGGTGGACGGGTGCAGGCTTTCCTGGAGGGCCCTTCGGGGAGGCGAGAGGGAGAGCGGGCAGGTGAGCCGCAGCCGGGGAGGCCCGGGCCGGACGGGGCTTTGGGGGACACGGACAGGACAGGGTGGCTGGGTCCTGGGGCCAGAGCCATCCCACAGGCGCCTCCGGTGCCGGGAGGGACGCTGAGGGAAGGCGATCCTGGGACAAGCACCTGCCTGATCCCACCCCGCCGGCCAGGGACCCCGTGGCCCTGAGGGGGGCAGGGCTGCGACGTGGGCTAGGAGGTCCGGGAGGACTCACCGCTCCAACTGAAGCTGCTCCTCGTAGGCCATGGCTCGGGGGGGAGGGCGGGTGCCAGGCCTGGTGTTGGTCAGGGCTTCCCAGACAGTCACCTGCAGCGGCCAAAGCCCAGCACTGTCACCTCTGCCACCCCCCCTGCCCACACCCTGCCCCGCCCGCCCCTGCCCATCCCCTGCCTCACCCGCCCGCCCGCCCCTGCTCGGCCCCGGTGCCCCCCACCCCGCCCGCCTGCACCTGCTTGGCCCCGGTGCCCCCTGCCCCTGCCCGCCCGCACCTGCTCGGCCCCGGTGCCCCCCGCCCCGCCCGCCCGCCCGCACCTGCTCAGCCCCGGCGCCCGCCTGCAGCAGGCTCTGCTGGATGGCGAACTGCAGCAGGTCGTCGTCCTCGTCCCGGAGGGGCTCGCTGCGCTCCGCGCCCAGCACGCTGTACCCCTCGGGCACCTCGAACACCGCGGGGTCCACCTCGCACGGGAAAGGGCTCCCTGGGGGGAGGGGGCCACGCTCAGCCCTGGGGCTCCCAACGCCAGCAAGGCCTCCGCCCCCACGGCGGGCACGCCGGAACCGGGCACGGCGGTACTGAGGCGGGCACGGCGGTACCCAGGCGGGCACACCGGAACCTGGCACGGCGGTACCCAGGCAGGCACGGCTGTACCGAGGCGGGCACGACGGTACCGAGGCGGGCACGACGGTACCGAGGCGGGCACGCCGGAACCAGGCACCGCGGTACCGAGGCGGGCACAGCGGTACCCAGGCGGGCACGGCGGTACCCAGGCGGGCACGGCTGTACCGAGGCGGGCACGCCGGAACCGGGCACCGCGGTACCGAGGCAGGCACGGCAGTACCCAGGTGGGCACAGCGGTACCCAGGCGGGCACGGCGGTACCTGAGGCGGGCACGGCGGTACCCAGACGGGCACAGCGGTACCCAGGCGGGCACAGCGGTACCCAGGCGGGCACGGCTGTACCGAGGTGGGCACGCCGGAACCGGGCACCGCGGTACCGAGGCAGGCACGGCAGTACCCAGGCGGGCACGGCGGTACCTGAGGCGGGCACGGCGGAGGCGGGCACCCACACTGAGCTCAGGGGCTCGTCACAGCCGCACAGGTTGCCAAAGGTGATGCGGGCGTTGAGCACGTGGAAAAGGGGGATCTCTGCGGGGAGAAAGCCGAGCCTGAGCCGCCTGGCCATACGCTGGCGACCGGACGTCCGATTTTTAACAATTTGTCCTGCGGCATTTTTAAAAAGTCCAAAAATTGGGACTTTTTTAAAACACCGCGGGTCGCGGGACAAATTGTTAGAAATCAGGACTGTCCCGCTGAAACCGGTGTGGCTCAGTGGATAGAGCCTGCGGACTGAAAGGTCCCGGGTTCCATTCCGGTCAAGGGCATGTACCTTGGTGGCAGGCACATCCCCAGTGGGAGGTGTGCAAGAGGCAGCTGGTCGATGATTCTCTCTCATCGATGTTTCTAATTCTCTATCCCTCTCTCTTCCTCTCTGTAAAAAATCAATAAAAATATTAAAAAAGAAAACAGGACTGTCCTGCCAAAAGTGGGACGTCTGGTCGCCTTACTCTATGCCCCCCCGTGCCTGGCCCCGGGGCCACGTCCCCCGCCCCCGGAGCGGCCGAGGCCTCCGGTGCCCCCCCTCACCGATCTTGACCGGGAAGCCCGGGGGCAGGCGCAGGGTGATGAAGTCCCGCAGCTTGGCGAAGTGTGCGTTGCTGATGGCCATCAGGTCGATGATGGGGGTCACCTGGTCCCCCAGGGACAGCGGGTGCTCCTCGCTCAGCCACAGCGTCGCCTTGAATCTGCCGGCCAACCACGGGCGTGGGCCAAGGAACCTCTGGTGGCCCCTCTCCCAGGGGCCACCCACTCCGGACCCTGCCTCTGCCTGCCTCTGCCTGCCTCTGCCTGCCTCTGCCTGGCCTCTGCCTGCCTCTGCCTGGCCTCTGCCTGCCTCTGCCTGCCTCTGCCTGCCTCTGCCTGGCCTCTGCCTGCCTCTGCCTGCCTCTGCCTACCTCTGCCTGCCTCTGCCTGGCCTCTGCCTGCCTCTGCCTGGCCTCTGCCTGCCTCTGCCTGCCTCTGCCGGCCTCTGCCGGCCTCTGCCGGCCTCTGCCTGGCCTCTGCCGGCCTCTGCCTGGCCTCTGCCTGCCTCTGCCTGCCTCTGCCTGCCTCTGCCTGGCCTCTGCCTGCCTCTGCCTGCCTCTGCCTGCCTCTGCCTGGCCTCTGCCTGCCTCTGCCGGCCTCTGCCTGCCTCTGCCTGGCCTCTGCCTGCCTCTGCCTGCCTCTGCCTACCTCTGCCTGCCTCTGCCTGCCTCTGCCTGGCCTCTGCCTGCCTCTGCCTGCCTCTGCCTGCCTCTGCCTGGCCTCTGCCTGCCTCTGCCTGCCTCTGCCTGCCTCTGCCTGCCTCTGCCTGGCCTGGGCGCCCTCTCCTCCCTCCGCTGCCCCCGCCTGCCTCCCCAGGAGCTTGTGATCTGGTCCTGTGGCCCGGGCCCAGGCTGGAGCCGATGGCAGTTTGTGCCAGCTCAACGCAGCAGCGTGAGGGCAAGGCGGGGCTGCCGGCTTCCATCTACGGGCCTGACCGCTCCTCACCCACAGCTGGCCAGCACAGCCCCAGGCCAGGGTGCCCGGCTCAGTGCACTGGGCAGCTGAGAGGTTCCTGGGACAGTGCTGGGCCCATCGTAAGCTCCTGTCACGGCTCATCAGACCCTCCCAGTGCCCACGTGTGACCTCTGTTCCCGAGAGGCCGGACTCTGCGAGAGGAAGACAGTGTGTGTGTGTGTGAGTGTGTGTGGCGGGAGTCTGTGAGAGCTCAGGGGCCAGCAGGTCCCTTCACTGGAGGGAGTCCCACCTTGCCCCAGCCTCACCTCTGCACTTTGCTGGACATCTCAATGGGGCGGCCGATGTTCCGTGACTCCAGGCTGAAGTTGGGGTCAAAGTACTCATCGGGGGAAATGGCTGTGGGGTTGGTGGGGCTGGCTGCCTGCTGCACAGGAACCTGGGGGGCCCAGGACCCCGCTTAGCGCTCAGGACGGCACCTGCCTGGCCCGGCCCCGGGCCCCAGCAGCCCCCCGCCCCCCAGCCCCGGCTCACCCCGTTGTGGGAGGAGTGCTGCTGGGCCATCCCGAGGAAGGACTGGAACGGAGTCTTCCCCCCTGAGGAGAAGCGGGAGCCCGTGAAGGGACCTTAGGCCACTGCCCCCCCTCCCCCCCTGGGAGCCTCCTGTCAAGTGGAAGACGGAGCAGACGGGGTGGGGTGACCCCGCAGCTTGTCCCAGACACTCTGGCCCCCTGGACCGGGTGGCCCCGCACAGGGTGGGCTGGGCAGCGGTAGGCGCACCTGGGTTTACCTTTGCTCCTGGACTTGTCCTGATCGGAGAGGTGCTCCGTGCGTGTGCGCGTCACCAGCTCCACGTTGACGGCACTGTACACCTGGGGAGCAGGGGGTGACGGGGGAGCTGGGGGCTCAGGGCCTGTTCCCACACTCAACCTCACCAGCACGGGACCCAATCCTGTCCCCGGGAACAGGAACGCTCGCTCCCCACAGTGGAGGGAGGGAGGGCGGGTCTAAACCCTGGGCAGTCACAGTGACAGGAACATGTCTGCTTTCATCTCAGTGCCGTGGGGGGGGCCCGGGCCGCACAGGGCTCCCAGCCCCGGCTCCTCTGCCTCGGCCTCCAGGGGTGGGCGAGGAGGCGGAGTGGAGCCCTGGGCCCTGTCCTCCCCCAGCCCCCACCACCAGCCTCGCCTGCCTTGGCCTCGTAGCCGCTGACGGTTTCCATCTTCTCAGAGCGCCAGCCCCAGATGCCGCACTTGTTCCTGAAACAGACAGACAGGAGTCCCTGAGGCCCCGCACCCCCTGCCCTGGCCGAAGCCTTCCCTTCCTGGCTCCCTCCAATCAGCTTCTCACTGCGAAGCGTGCGGGGCTGGAGGGGGACGCCCGGGCGGCTGGGACTGGGGACAAGGCCCGGGGACCGGAACGCGCTGAGGCACTGCTGACTCCGTCAGGGGTGGTAACAGTGCAGGGCTGGGTTTAAAAGCATCCTCGCGCGTTAGAGTCACGTGCACAGGCGTTTACTGGTGGAATGACATGGCATCTGGGATGCACTTCCAAACGGTCCAGGGAAAAAGAGAAAAGGCGAGGAAGGATAGATTTGACAAGACGGGCAAGATGTTCAATAAACGTTGAATTTATTGAATATCATACTATTTTGTTGAATATAATACTATTCTCTCTTCTTTCATAAATGTTTGAAATTTTCCATGATAAAAAGTTGGAAATAAAAGTATTTCTCATTCAACAATAATAGCTGGAGACTTCAATATCTCCCTTTCAATGATGGGGAGAACAGGGCAGAAGGTCAACAAGGAAACAGCCGATCTGAACAACACCATAAACTAGACTTCACCGGCTTCCTTCGAACTCCCCACCCAACAGAACACACGTGCTTCCGGAATGCACGGGGACTGGCCTGCAGGACAGACCAGATGCCAGGCCATCAAAGAAGCCGCAATAAAACGCAAAGAACAGACACCACAGTGTGTGTCCTCCCGTCACAGGGGAATGAAACTAGAATTCAATAACAGACAAAAGATTTGGGAAACTCACAGACATATGGAAAGCAAACAACACACTCCCAAATAACCAAAGGATTAAAGAATAAATCAAAAGGAAAATCAGGAAATACTTTGAGATGAATGGAAATGAAAACACAACATATCAAAACTTATGGAACATAGTTAAAGTAGAGCTTAGAGGGAAATTCTTAAATGACTGCATTAAGAAAGAAGAGCCCTAACCAGTTTGGCTCAGTGGATAGAGCATCGGCCCACGGACTCAAGGGTCCCAGGTTCGATTCCGGGCAAGGGCATGTTCCTTGGTTGCGGGCACATCCCCAGTGGGGGGCGTGCAGGAGGCAGCTGGTCGATGTTTTTCTCTCATCCATGTTTCTGACTCTATCCCTCTCCCTTCCTCTCTGTAAAAAATCAATTAAAAAATATTTTTTAAAAAAGTGAACAGAACCCACGGGATAGGAGAAAATATTTGCAAATCATGTATCTGATAAGGGACTTACCTAGAATGTCTAGAATTTATAAAAAGAACTCTTACAACTAAATGATAAAAAGATAACCCAACTTTTTAAATGTGCAAGGAACCTGAAGAGACAGGTCTCCAAAGAAGAAATACAAATGGCCCAAAAGCACATGAAAAGCTGCTCAACGTCACTCGTCCTTAGGGGAATGCAAATAGAGCCGCAGGGAGATGCTGCTCCACACCCAATAGGATGTCACAATCCAGAACAAGTAAGTGAGCAGGGAGCGTTAAGTGAGGACGCGGAGCAATGAGAACCCTCATGCACCACCGGCAGGAGCAGAAAACGCTAGTCCCTCTGGTAGGCAGCCTGGCAGTTCTCCAGCTACACATCCAGTTACCACATGACCCCGCAGATCTACTCCTAGGTATGTATGCCCAACGGAAATGAAAACATATGTCCCCCAAACATCTGTGCACTACTCTTCAGAGCAGCATTCTTCATAAGAGGCAAAAGGTAGAAAGAATCAGAATGTCAATGGACGAATGACTAAACAAAACGTGGTATATTCACACAACCTAGGCAGCCATAGAAAACGATGATGCAGCTGGATGCTACAACTAGGATGAATCTTGAAGACATTATGCTACAGGAAAGAAGCCAGTTACAAAAGACTACATACTA